TTCAGCGTAAACCGGTTTACCGGTTCTTTGACCGGTTCGGATCTTGAACCGGTTTTTTTGTGCATGCCTAGGGTAAAGTAAAGTGCCCCTCAAGAGAAAAGCCCAATAATGCCCCAAAAATATTAAAGAAAAAGGAAAAAGAATGGTGAGTTCAAGGGGTCAATATTCCGGATTTACCAAGTGGATGCATATGCTATAAGTTTCTCATGAGCTTTTTGCTCAAAATCTATATGAGGTGTTGCTTTTCTATCATACAAAGGCATATCTATATGGGTGCAACAGTGAGTTTTGGCTCACCCCACAATATATATTATATATATAATTTATATTTCTTTTGAATACCACAATATATATTATATATATAATTTATATTTCTTTTGAATAAAAAAGGCTAATGCTGCCAATTTTGATATGGTCCATTCTATTCAAAACTTAAATTGATAATGAAGGAAATAATTTATGTGTTGAGGTACATCCATTAAAGAATTTAGACAACAATTTTTTGAATAGATGAAGTTGCATTTCAATATTCACAATGAATTCCTCGTTCATCAGGTTCGTATATTAATATTTTTTTAATCATCTTAATTAATCAATTACTTCCAATTTAAATGAACAAATTACTTTAAAATTACACATTGTTATATATATATATATATATATATATATATATATATATATATATATATATATATATATTACCATTTGAAGTATTTTGCTACTTGTTAATATTTTGTAATTATTTGGTCTACCGTAAAACAAAATCTTTGCTACACCACTGCTATCATATACTACTAATACTAGGTATAACACAATCACGAAGGGTAATTTAGGTATATAATGTTTTCAAAGTGCAAAATCCTAATAAGCAAAAATGAAACTACAATATTATAATAAGGAAAAAATAAAACTATAATGTTATAAATGGATAGATTTATCAAAGTATAATGCCGTAATAAGAAGTTCTAACCTTTTTTTTTTTTTTTTGCATTCACCTTTTCTACTTCACGACCCTCGATTTAAGTTGTAAGTTCGTTTTCTGTCCCCAAAAATACTTAAAAAGGCACTCTCTCTCACTTTGTGTAAGAGATCTTTCCCACACATATACATAAGCAAACTAGCACCATTAAGAACTTTTTGTTCTATTCTATTCATAGAAGGAGTGAGACTTTCATCTCTTACAATACTTTCTTTCTACCAAAAATAATTTACAATTTTTTGGGGATGATTAATAGCTACATATTGATTACATCAATTTTACAGACTAAAAATGATTACATATGTTTTTTTTTCTTTTTTTGTGATTTTGTGTCGTAGCAGTGTATTAATTGAATTATAAAAAATCAATGTAATTAGTAACTACGTGAATCAGAAATAGCAAAGAGATGCGACCATTGCAAAAATTTTGGTCACGATCTTATCACTTGTTCCATTCACTCGACTAGCACACTTGTTCAAAAGATGGCTACACCCGCTCCGATAGAAGTTGACAAAGAAGGTTTCCAAATAGTTAAAAGGAGAACTAGAGCAATCCCTATCCCTAAAAAGAAGGTTCAAGTTGACAACCGTAAAAGCAAAGGGCCCGCATTAAAGATCGCTCAAGTCTACAAGTCCATCACTCGTGATCCGAAGAAAAAGAATATATCGTCCAACATGTTTGATGTTCTCACGCATCAAAGGATTTACGACACCGAAGGCGATTCTAGCATCCCTCCTCTCATCAATCCCAGAGATACCCTCCCAACATCTGATTCACATCCGAACTCTTCTCATAGTTGTCATATCTCTATTCCAGTTGACCACGGTTGAATTTTTAAGGTCTTGTTTAGCTATATCTTTGTTTTACGTTGTTCTTTCTTGCTTTGGGGCATGTCCCTTAGCTTGGTCTTATTTTTATTTTTCTTGGGCGTTTGTCCTCCTTTTTTTGTAATTTCTTTTTATTAATAAAATTTGCTAAGGGTAATCCCTTTTATCCAAAAAAACATATTTATTGATTACATTAAATTTTTTGTTACAAAAATGAATACATTGATTTTTGTTCATGAATTGGTATAATAACAAAGTACTTGTTTAGTTATCTGATGTGAAACAAAATTTTATGAAAATAGGTGAGTAAATATAGATGAAACACAATATATATTATTATTTTACTGATTCAGCTAAGAAATGTTTTTTTAATAAAATGGTAAAAATATTTATGTACTAAAAATAATTCATTATATCTAATGTAAAAACATTATTTTAAATATGATTACACCAAATTTGGTTATTGATTGTTTTCAATTTGATTACTCTCTAAATATTTTAAAACAAATTGAACTTGATGTTAAGCAAAAAACCAGATCATAAAAAAAGAAAACTTTATAACACTTATATCTTGAGAAATATAGGAATTATTACAAATTTATTAATTTTGTAAAAAAGTTATAACAATCCCAAAATAAATAAAAATTGACATGGAATTAAAATAATATAATAGATAAACTTTATTGGAGTAAACATATATCAAATAGACATGGAATTAAAATAATATAATAGATAAACCTTGTTGGAATAAACGGATATCAAAAATTGTTTACACCAAATTTGGGGCAAAATAGAAAACAATAGTTGATTTACATTATTAAAATTGGTGCAAAACATACAAACTAAAGTGCAATGTTCTGTAATCTTTTGATAGATTCAGCCGCGTAACTAATTTAATCACTATAAAAAAAATAGTCAAGTGGCTAAATCAGTAAAAAAAAAATGAAAATACGTTATAGTTCTCTATATTGACCAATAACAAAGGAAAATGAGAATTTTAGTAAGTCAAAAAATATAAGTATAATAAAAGAAAGCATACCCCATGTTTGTTAAAATTGATTGCAGAATTTACATCAGTTTCATCAAAATTAACTTGGTTGTAAGTCAAGCATTAAATTATGCATCATTATTTGATCTTTGTTCTGAAAACTTTAACATGGTCAACAGTTGGTGATACCAAGGTTGGAGTTCAACGATTACTATATATCAACAACCATTTCCGTCTTTTGCTCTTCGGCTGCTCTTGATGGGAAAAAAAACTATTGACCGGATGCTTGGACTTTGACCATGGGCAAGCTTGGGACTAGGACGATACAAATGTATGATGGACTCCCATTTGGTTTATGGTCTTATGGAACATGGAGCAATTGATGAGATAGAGCTTTTGGAAATGCTTAAAAATAAACATATGTACATGACAATATCACCATGCATATTTATAATTTTTGGATCTTGAAAAAAATGTTACATTTGCATAAGACCTTACAAGATGAATAACATAAGGTACTTAACTCACAGGGGACCCGATTTTGTTGCTTTCGGTCATTCTACTTAGGCTAAAGGGTGTGATGTTTTTTTTACCAATGGTAAAAAGGTTATACGTAGGCGACACGTCAACTTTCACATTTTTTACAGTTTTCACCTACGGACTAGGGTGAGGTAAATGGTTTACCTATGAGTGTTTATTATTATTATTATTATTATTATTATTATTATTTTAATTTCAATAAAAAATAACAACCTTTTTTAAAGACCATACTAAAATTAAAAATAACATAAAATTAAAAATTATATTTTAGAAATCCTAAAAGTAAAAAAAACATGAAATTAAAAATTACATTAAAAAACCTAAAATAAAAACATGAAGTGAAATAAAAAAAAAAGAAACTAGAAAAAAACATAACATTGAAATTTCATTTGCGGTTTAGCTTATATTTTTCACGAATCGACTGCTTCACTGCTTTAACCGCCTCTTGATCTTCGGAGTCGAGGTGTCTCACATCTTGCATTAATAACGAATACTCGGTGAGTCGGACGGTTTCAGTCATATGCATCTCCAAAGTTGAATTCAATTGTGCCATTTGTGTCATCATTTGTAACATCCCGAGATTTGGCAGGTATTCCCGAACCCTCTTCTATCATTACCTTGCCATTTATAGTCCTTGGGGGTTGGAGGTGAAGAGCCAAGATAAGTTTAAGGGCCAAGTTTGCAAACTTGGGCCAAGAGGGGGTACACTGCGTGTACATAAGAGTACGCTAAGCGTACTTAGGTCCGCCTTAGTACGCTGGGTGTACACTTGTTTACGCTGGGCGTACTAATGTCTGGGTGAAACCCTAATATTTAGGGTTTGGGGCCTATACAAGCAACATAATGAGCACCAAAACCTCACTTACCTCAGCCTCCATAGATTATACTCGTCTTCCCCAAACCCTAGCCTTTCCTTTGTGTGTTTAAGCTTATTGAGTGTGTTCTTGAGTGCTTTAAGAGGAAGTTATTGCACCAAAGAGTTGGAGGAGAAGATCTAGGTTGTGGATCTAAAGTTAGCTTGTGCCCAAGAAGCTCCAGAAGGTATAAAGCTCCAAACTTTATGCATATATGATTAGATCTTACCATTTTGCTTTAAAAGGGCCATTTCTTGTCCCAAAAACCACAAGGTGGTGCATGTTGTGATTTGGATGAAAAGGGTTGTCCTTCTAGACTCTTGAAGGGACCTTGAGTGATAAAAATAAGGTCCCATTAGCTGTATGTGTCCCATGCATGGAGAAATAAGGTCTTAATGGATTAAGACCAAGCATTAAGAACTTTGTGGACGTCCAAAGTGATAAAGTTCATGACTTTATGGATCCTAGGCATGTTAGGTCTCTGGATCTGAAGTTTGGGCTTAAGTGCTTAAGCCATTAAGCACTCAATAAGGTTTTGGAAAAACTGTTGAGTACGTCCAGCGCAAATCTAGTACGCCCAGCATACTGGGTCAACCACCCCGATGGTGGTCAACATTTGGTCTAGTACGCCCCGCGTACCAGAGGAGTACACCCCGTGTACGTCCTCTATTGGGCCTTTGTCAAATGGGCTTCGAGTGTTGGACTGTTTATGGACTATATGGAATTGGGCCCTTGCTGGACTTTGTAAATAAGATATTTTGGGCCAAGTACTGTTAGTGGATCATGAGGTTAGGCCCAATTAGGAGGTTAGGCCCAATTTAGTAAATTGGGCCAATAATGGGCTTAATATATATGGACCTTCAAGTTAAGGACTTGGTATTGGGCCTTGGCCCAATAAAGAGAATGGATTTAATGAGTTGTGTGGACACTTAGTCAAGAAGTTATTTTGGGTATTGACTTAGTATTTATTATGTAATAGTTCGGGATTTCCGGTGAGACAGCAGTCAGAGGTTCGGTATTTCAGCACTACTTGCGAGGTGAGTTATCCTTACTATACTTAAGGGTCTAAGGCACGAAGGTCGGCCCTTTGGATTATTATCTGGTTATGTTATGCTAGTATGATTTGTTAGATCGGTATCCTAGTAGGTAGGATAGTATTATGTGGTATGTGGTATTGTCTGTTAGATCGGTATCCTAGTAGATAGGATGGTTTTATGTGCTATGTTGTATGATCCGTTAGATCAGTTGTTGTCTATATATTGCTATATGATTATCTGTTATATGTGCACATGTTTGTTTGGCGGTTGAGGCTTATCTGCTTTGTGTGAAAGCCAATAGACCTGGGCATTCCAACCTGTTGGTTGTGGGTCGTGAGTATTCCATCCCTATGATGATTGGACTCATAGTATGTTGGCATTCCAACCTGTTGGTTGTGGGCCTGGGGTATTCCATCCCGAGGATGATTGGACCCATAGTATGTTGGCATTCCAACCAGATGGTTGAGGGCCTGGGGTATTCCAACCTGATGGTTGACCGGACCCATATTTTGTTGTTTATGATTATATGTGTGTTATTGTGGGTATGGGTATTTTGGGGGAACTCACTAAGCTTTCGGGCTTACAGTTTCATTTTATTGTTTCAGGTGTATCAGGGGATTGCAGCAAGGTGAAGGTGTGATCGTTCAGCTCCTCATGTTTTATTTATGTTTTTGGGGAAAACTCTGAAATTAGACTATTTTGAAAACAAATTTGTAATAACTGTTGGTTTTAAATGTTTTGAAAAGTTTTAAATTGGCTTGAATTTTATGGGTGTTACATCATTTCTTCCGATCTAGCTGACCCCTCGGTTCATACTGAAGAATTTGAAGATGTCGCTTTCCCTTTTCCTTTTGTTCGAGCTTTTGTTTTGTCCCTTCCCATTTTAGGAGGAGGCGGGCGTATTTCTTCAATGTCGTTGTAACACCCCTAATTTTCAAGCAAATTTTCACATTTTGAAAACACCTTATTTCATAATATTATAAAACTCATTGTTTCATACATCCAAATATAAGTCAAAATCCCAAGATCATACCATATATAAAACTCCGCGTGTGTGTGTACTGATCATGCCGACGCCTTCCCGCGATCTTCACTAGTACCTGAAACACATAACACAAAACACTGTAAGCACAAGGCTTAGTGAGTTCCCCAAAATACCACACATAACACATACTAGCCACTCGAAGCTATAACTCTGCGGGCCCTTGGACCCTAACTCTGTGGACCCTCTGGTCCTAGTTCTGTGAACCTTTCGATTCCAACTCTGATATACTCTGATATATACACGACATAAATCACATAGAAATAATGCAGTGCAACACATCACATAAATAGCAT